TTTTTTTTTAACCACAAACGCCAGCTTGAATCACCACATCCTTGTTCACCTTCACGTATTGGTCTTCTCTTCTCAAGCTCGGCATCATCGCACGAATTCACGATGAAACTTCTGCCCATACTCACAACTCCGATCTGCACTACTCGACTGAGAGTTTGTAAAGCACTAAGCTCTCTCTTTCCATTGATCCAGATATAGTTCAAAATCATCTCGAGGCATGGTCAAAGATCTGATGGTTGATGCTAAAAAAAGGAAATCGCTTGCTGAGAGAGCAAAAAACCTTCTGCTATCTTTAAAGCAGCATTTCCCCCACCTTCCCCAAACAACCCTAGACATGAGCAAAATCAACTATAACAAGGTTGGTGTTCATTATGTTCTTGGTTGAACTCCTTTGTTCTATAAGGGCAAAGCTGAGCCATATTTACATTTTTGTTATGAAGCATTTTTAATAAAATCAGGACAAGTGAAACAACTCCTGCCACACCAAGCTTTTCCCCAGTACATGGCATAAGCCCAATGAAAGGCCAAAAATCCCAATCTATGAACAGCAACAGAAACCTCCCCCATCATGGTAGGGTAGGTGTGAAGAAAGTTTTGATATATTTTCTTAGCATCAATACAAAAGGGAAGGGCTATGGTTGCAACAACGAAGGAAAGGAAGGGAAAAAGAAGTAATGGAGGATTGGGAAAGATTTAATCGTATTGGCTATGAAGAAATGAATAAATAGTAGTTAACAGCAAATAAACGACAGGATACTCAATGCTACGATTTAAATAGTTGATGAATTATTTTATGCTGTTCTATAATAAAGAATATTAAATGCTCCTTGAAAAATAATCCAACAATAAATTCATCCTTTTACCCTACTCCCTCCATTTCTAAATGTAGGAGAAATTGTCATAGGTTGTTTTTTTTTATATAAGCAAAAATATATTTTTTTAATAAGCATTTATTATAAAATTCCTAATTTACCCCTCATAAACTATAATTTACTATCACAAGGAACATTTATTGCACTATTATGTTGACTAGCACAAGGAATGGCTAGAGACTATTTACGAGAACAAACTCTTCATCTTACTTATCATCCCAAGTTTATCGATCATTTCATTAGCTCTCATTATAACTCTTCATATTTCTAGTCACAAGCGGAAGAAAACATCAATGGATATTTCTAAAGATTCAGAAGGAGTTGCTTTGGAGAAAGATAGACAATTGGACTTATTACTCCTCATTATGGAAGACTCATTAGAGAAGGAGGACACATTCTCACATCTTGTTGTGGAGGATTCACTGGAGAAAAATTCACCAGAGAAGGATACAAGATTGATTCCCACTAGGTTTAGAGAGGAAACAAGAAAAACCAATAGTAAGCAACTTTTTGACTTGAACAAGTTCCTTGAAGAAGGCTTGGACTTTGGTTATCAAAATGAGGCGTTGAATAAGGAGGTTCATACTATGCTAAAGATATGGTTTCCCCACTCATACTAGGTTTACGAGAGAGGCATGGAAGAAAGAGGTTTATCATCTTGTTTCCATTTTTTGCTTCCATTTTTTTTCCAGATGTATGTTTATAAAAGTGACTCATGTTCATTCTTATTTTGATACCATCAAACGATGCTTTAAAAATAGAAGATTTCTTCATCTCTCTCTCTCTCTATTATAATGGTGTAGTAGTCTAAAATAAGGATAAAAATTTAGAGTAAATAATGAAATGAAATGATTAAATAAAAATAAAAAAAACACTAATATCAAAAAACATAATCAAAGTTACAATGTTTTGGTGTTTGATGTTCCTACAAAAGGTAAGAGTTCTAGTGCATGACTAAGCATTATTTAACGTTTTGGTTTTCCTAACTTTCCGTTGCAAGAATTGTGTAGCTAGATTTTGTAAGTACCCTTGCACTTCATGTACTGGGGCACAATCACATTGTAGTGTTATGGGTAGCCTATCTTGTTTAAGCATCACATCCTCCCCTAAGTGAGGCATGCCATAGTCATTTGATCCTTTCAACTTCATGACCTCAAACATAGATGCCTAGAGTGTGAGAAATATTTCGTTCAATTTTTTTTTTTAGGAAAACACCAAATAATTTCCCACAACCTCAATTAACTCATCAACTAATCTAGTCACTTCTTTTTATTAGAGAGATTGAATGGCTCTAAAATAACCTAAATCCAACACATTCAAATCAGGAGAATTATGAGGTTGACAAGCCAAACAAATATCGAACCCCTTTCTAAAGCTGTTCTACAAAATTCTTCATCATATACAGGAACATGACATAGTGCATTATCCTATTGTATAAAAATGGCTCATCCTGCATATTCTCTTGGCCATTTTTCCTTGATAGTGGGTAAAGCTTCATTAATCAAGAACCTTCGACTAACTTTTTTAATGATAGAAGCAATTGGTTTTGTTTCTACTGTCTTTGCTACTCTATTAACGCTTGTCCTTCTTGCTGGAACTTTAGTAACTAAAGGAAACACACCTATCTTTCTCAAAAATATTTAGTTTCCTACTTCATCAATCCTTGGTCGTACTACTACAGCTAGAAACGTAACCTTTTTAATGTAGTTTTTGTTTTTGCTTGTAAGGTGTGGTTCATCCTCATTTTCGCACAAATAGAAGTTTGTGCATTCCTGAGTCACTTGAAACCATTTTTCATCTATATGAATAATATTATACATGAATTTAAACCTAAGATCATCATTTAGGCTACTTTATCTAAGACGAGAAATCATATTCCCCTTCTTTAATAATGGCTTGAGTGCATTTAATTGTCACCGAAGTTCTCCCTCCTTAATAAACCCAATCAAAGTTGTTGTGCTAATGTTAAAAGCATGTGCTAGAGATCAAATAGTTTGCCACTTTGATAATAGAACTTCACAAATCGTTGCAATGTCTATTTGGACTCTCTTCCTTCTACAGTTTTGTGTTCTCTTATGACATGCATCACCTGTTTCCTTTACTCAACTCCAAATCCAATAAATGACATGTATAAAGACAAAATATAATGAAACCATCCATTTTACAATCCCTAGTTTAAGTTTTCCTCCTCTACTTGAATGAAGGAGCATCTGACTAATGAATGTTCGCTATTCATTATTTAACCATGCTCGTTTTGCAATTGGTTCTCTTTCTTGTTCAGCCATGTCGTCTCCTATAGCATAAAATGGATAAGTAAAGAAATACACAAACAAAAATGAAATAGAAGGTCAAGGCACTATGTAGACAAAATATACCAATATTGGTGATAGCATGTATTTCATCCACGGAGAACTCAGTGTCCAAGTTGTCATCATCATCTTCTAACTATAAAAATACATGGTTGTCATGGTCTTCATCTACATCCAATTGAGGGACATTTAAATCCAAACACAAAGGAGATGCTCTGTTTTCTTTCATAAGAATAGAAGTAGTTGGAGATGCTCTGTTATCTTCCACAAAAATAAAGGTAGTCGGAGCTATCTCAAGCAAATATACCTCTATTAGAAGAGAGGGAGGTTGATTCAAATCTATGTGAAGTGGCATTTCCTTCAAATCATCAAGGCACAAATAGCTGCGGATTAAAAAAAAAACTATTTGAATGTGTAACTATATATGCATGCAAACCATAACAATAGTTGCTCTTGGTTTTGAAAATAAAAACACCTGCTCTCTTATTGCCACCAATTTAAAATCTTATTTTTCATTTAAATTTTACTTTCAAAGTTATAGTTTGATGGAAGAAAGTATAGTATGTGAAAGTACATGTTATGGGAATATAGAGAAAGGGAGTAGTATATCTTCAGTAAGAGAGGGAACACGTCTTCATGAATATATAGTATAGAGAGAGAGTGGTACTCAGTTTTAATTATGCATTTATTTTTGTGAAAGGGAGGAGTTGATTTTTTTTTTTCAAATGGATAGTATTAATAAATTAAGAGAAAGAGTGAGATTAAGTATAAGGATATTTTAATTTAATTTTTTATTTTCTAATATAATAATTATTGTTAACTACCTTTTTTTAAAAGGTGTGATACAATTATTTTCTCCTACATTTAAAAACAGAGGGAATACCTTATATTACCAAAAGACAAAAAGACAAATCATCTACCTTCCTTTCCTTTACCGTCATGGGTCTTGGTAAGATATAACATTCTAATTTTCATCTGAATTATGAGTTAATGGCAAACCTAATTTTGTGACAGAAAAAGCACGCCTAGAACTAAAATAGTGATTTGCCCATAATTTATATTATTGATTTTTTTCGTCCAATGTCTTTCATTCTCCTCTTGATTTTCATCTTCTCCCAACACCTCCCATCTGTTTTTTTTTTTTTAAATCTCATGTTTGAGCTAATCAACTACTGAATCACCTGGTCGAACTAGAGGTTGGTTTACAATCAAATTAGCCAGTCTGATTCAATTTTTAAAAACTTTGTTCTGTCCTTATCACACAAGACACCAGGAAAATTTGAGGCGAAATGCAAATTGAAAAGAAATCAGGAAGCAAAATGCAAAGCAAGCTGCCGAGCTCAGCTCGACCGCCGCCTATGGATGGGGGAGTTGTGACACATGAAGCTAAACCACAACATGAAACACATGCATCTAGGCTCTTGTTCATTAAAAGAACACACCATTAGTAATCAGCTTGTTCATTAAAAAAACACACCATCAGTAATCAGTTATTGATATATTCTTCTAATTTTATTTATAAAATAGAGATAAATAAAAAAATTAATCCTATTTATAAATCACATTTTAAATTTTTATTACAAATTTTCATTTACCCTCCATTCAATATTAAAGAAAAAATATATTATTAAAATATATATATTTAATAAGAATAAAATTGAGAACTTGTTAACTTTTAAAACAGAGTTAATGAATTTTAAAATTTTTTTTAATATTGATAAAATATATTAAAAGTAACTTATAAATAAAATTAGAGGAGCATGTTTTGTTTTCTATCAATCTTGTCCTGCGAAAAAAGCACTAAATTTAACAACCAGTATTCAAAGATAAATTCAAACTATTAATAATCACGTCAACGTGTTTGATGTCATTACAATGTCTCAACAGGGGCGTAAAAAAAAAAAAAAAAAACCTAACTTAATATGCAACTTCAATAACAAAAACTGTGGTTGTACTAAGCTCGTGACCAGAACGGCAAATCCCTCCGACAAAGGGAGCGGTCAAGACCTTTCAGTCGAATAAACTGAAACCCATGTCCTGTAGTTTGAAAAACAAAGAAGCAAGGAAAACACGAATATATCATTAACAGGCAAATGGCGAATCATCAAAAGCCAAAATAACTGCGCAATTCCGAAGCTTACCTCATCTGACTCCTCCTTCTCTTCCACCTTCTTTTCTTCCTTTGCCTCAGCGGCAGGCGCAGCACCACCAGCAGGAGCACCAGCTGTAGGCGCAGCAGCAACAGCAACTGCGCCACCACCGCCAGGTACTGAAGCCAGCTTCTCTCTTCCACTAGCAATCAGTTCGGTGATATCTTTACCATTAACTTCGGACAAAAGAAGATCAATCCTTTCATCATCAATCTCAGCTCCAACTGTAAAACATTAACCAAGCACGAAGAACCTATTATCATCTTTGGCAAGTCACTGAAACTTTGAAATAACTGTAAATTCATAATTTACTATAGCTTTGCAGTAGAGTTTAAAGGGCCACTCAGCAGCACAGAAATATCTTAAATTATACACATCCTATGTTTCCTCCAGCAGTGGCATTAGATTGAACACAGGTGACAACAGACAATAAAACATTTTTTACAGAAGACTTTCAATAAAATTAACTGGAATGTAAAACGTATGCGTGTAGTGCAATTGGGAAAAATTGCATCTAAGGACCTGAATGGTGTATATATTTAAACTGCAGCATCCTAAATAATAGAATTATTTGGATCTTAATCTTCTTAAGTTAGAAGCTTGTAAAGAGTAAAGAAAATGAAATGGAGGGTAAGTGCACTCCATACATACCCCTGCCATTTGAATCACATTCTCTACCGCATCCAGGGACAGTTTGACTTCAAAAAGATCTAAATTCGCCAGAGCTACAACTAGATTTTTTTCAGTCAGCTTACATGTTTTTGAAAAGTAACCTTTCAAATAACTTTCTTAAAGCTAACAAGTAAATACGAAACAAGAAGACTTATAATACCTTTGATACTGGACATTAATTATAGTATTAGAAATCCTTTAATCTAAATTCACATAGTATGAATCCTTAAATGTGGTTTCGCGCAAAATTGAACCGGCAGTATTTAGAAGTTAGTTTCTTTTTCTCAGTTCCATATCTTCATTCCTCTCATGGCCGCTTCCACAAATCCGCTCAATTTTACAAGCGCAGAAGCTTATTCCTTTGAAAGTTGGCCCCGAAGAGCCTGATATTGTTTGTGGGAAATGCATGCTAAACAATTGACTAATATTATGAACCAAGTTGAGAGTTCTATGGTTCAAATCATAACCACTACGACCAACTGGCGACATTTGATCAGCGGGAAAATAAAAGTGGAATATATAATAACTCCAGAACTTGAATAGGGGAAAACAAACGTAGTGTAGTGGAGATGGGACAAAAATAAAATAAAGGATTGTTCACCTGAGCCTAGGATGTACTTCAGATCGTCGGCTGTAGGTGCTGCGTTCCCTCCCAATACAGACAGCAAATACGCAGCGATCACCTTCATCTCTGCCTCGAATATAAATAAGAGCAAACTACTGTAAGTAATACAAATTAACAAAAGAGACAAATGAAGTCGCTAACAGAGAATGCATACTTGCTTCGAGGGATGATGGATTGCGCAGCTACTCTTTTTTCGGGGGAGGGACGGGAGGGTGGCGGACAATTTTGGGGCAGGAGTATAAGTATAGCTAGGGTTTTTGAGTGAATCATGCCCGTTCGGTCAAAAAAAAAAAAACACTACGACCGTTCGGGGGACAATATCGGCCAGAAAAATGGGTCGAGCTATATGAAAGCAAAACAGGGCCTTAACCAATGCCTTATTATTCCTCAAATGTTTCCATCAATGTTCTAAGACCCGGATCGACTAAGACGATCGAACCGTCGCCCGCTGAAGAAAACAGGCTGGTTCAACCAATTAACCCGTATTAGCAGTTGGCCCGGGTTGGCTCGCCTAGAACCGGACGGTTTTTAAAGACCCGGGAAAAACCCGGAGCGGGTTTTACGGGTCAACAGCAGGTCGCAAAAAAAGGACAAAATTGGTATTTTTAAAAATAAAAAACCCTTCTCCTCACTCTGTCTAGTAGACCAACACCTATAAGGACCCATTCTTCTTCTTTTCAGTCTCACTTCTCTCTGTCTTGCAAAATGCACGCACTCATTCTCGTCACCTTCTCAAATCTCAGCCATCTGGGTTTTATTCTATGTGTCATCTCTCTCAAGCCACTCAGCCATCTGGGCTCTGTCTTCACCGTTCAGCCATCTTGAACTCGCCTTTTCAACCATTTGGGTTCTATGTTCACCCTTCGTTGTCTTCACCATTCAGCTTTAGCCATCTCAAACTCTCTCAAACTTCAGATGCTTTTTTATTCTTCATCTTCACTTCACTTTCTTCATTTTGGTTCGTGACTTCGTGTTCTTGGTTAACTCTAGTATAGGCATCTAGTTGTTGAAGACAGTCAGATGGCGTTGAGCTCGACCCCTTTCTTGATTCTTCATCGATTGCTCTCTCTCTCTCTTAGTCCCGGTGAGATTTTCTTTCTCCCTCATTTTTATCTCTACCCAATTTAATGTAATCTCCATGGTTCTAAATGGAGTAGAATGAATACTAATGGATGAGCTTGCTTTTTATTATCTGAGTTGTTTATTGCAAAATGAAAGATTGTTGAATGGATGAAGATGAATCTATTTTTTATTGTCTAAGAGTTGTTTATTGCAAATATAAGTTTTATTTTTTTAAGTGATTATGTCTAAATCCTGATGCATTAAAGAATCTAGTGTTGTATTTTTGTTAGCTTGTTTCTTTTATATATATATATATATATATATATAATTTTTTATTTAATTATTAGGTCACCGGTCCAACCACCGGTCTAACCGGTTGAACCATGAGACCCGTGACCCGTTGACATTTTCGGTTCGCTGTCCGGTCCGGGTTTTAAAACATTGGTTTCCATCCCTTTTTTATCAAAAATATATTAAAACCACTAGCGAGGATAGAGTCAAAAATGTATAATGTTTGTATCTTATATTAATATTAATAATAATTGATATTAATCAAGACTCAACTTAAAAATGATATTTATATCAATTATGTTTTATATTAAAATTATATTAATAATACCCTTTATGGGTAATTGCGTGATCATGCTTAGACTTAGTCTAGGTCTCTCATGTACAGCAAAGGCAGGATATAACCTATACCATTATGATCATAGCTTATCGATAATTATGTATATCATTCCACACGTTGGCGAAGCCATGACCTTAAGTTAGGAGGTATAATATTTGTAAAATTAATAATTTAAAAATAATTTAATTTTAAAAAAGTCAAGCATATATCTTACTATTATATCATGCATAGTTTCATGTTTTGGAATTATTGAACAATAATTTTATTGTCGTTGTTAAATAACATGTCTTTTTTTTTTTTTCTTGGCCAAAAAAGAACATATCGTTTTCAATATAAGTCAAGAGACAATTATTTATTAATAGATCTCCCGTATGATTCTGCGACCAAATTTTTACAAACTTTATAACAAAAAAGACTCTTTCTACCATTGCTGTGGCAATTGATAATATCATTGCTAATTTAAAGAAAGTATAAACTAAAGGATAAACTATACGTCTTCTTGTTTTTGCCAATTCTTTTGCAGGACTACCAATTCCTTCCAATGATGCAAATTAAGTATTGCTTCACATATCAATGATGTAAATTTCAAGTTGACTATCAAGCATCATCAAGTCACATGGTGAAAACTCACATAGATAAAACTTGGCAAATTCAATTAACCTTTCCTTATCAAAATGTTGGATTGAATTTTTTTGACCTTCAACTGAACATATTTAAAATTCTGTTGGAATACAAATATCTTCAAAGTTAAACTAAGGGATGAAAAATATTTAGATCAAAGGGTGCAAAACAATAAAACATATGGCCCTTCATTATAATCTTTTCCAAGTCTGGGGGGGCAAATTCAAGGGGTGCATTTGGCCCTGCTAAACTTAGAGTAGTGTCGCCCATGATTCCACATGATTCTAAGTATTCGAGTTAGATAACTAGCTTGTGTAAATAAGGAGAAATAATCAAGTTTGTCAATGTAGAAGATAATTTGAGCTGCCTCAAATAAACTTGGTAAACTTTGAGATTGAGTTAGAAAAAACCACACTTCTCATAATAACCAGGCTTCTTGAACAACTTGGACATGTTTGAAAAATTTGAACCAAAACTATTTGTGTTTGGGCTTGCTCAGATACATGAACTCATGTTTATTTTTTAAAACATTAACAATAAAATGATTCCTTCTAATAAAAAGAGTACTTATAAGCAATGGAAAAATATTAAACTGGTAGAGCTACCTTATTTGAAAAAGGCAAGAAAACCCTTATAGATCATTTGGTTTGATTTTAGCACAAGTCATCTATTCATCCCTAAAATGCCGGTGCCATTCCTAGTCAAGATTGTCTGGCTTGCAAAAGTAAGAAAACTAACTATACAAGTCAGTTGTGCCCCCGCTTGCATGGGAACGAGATATCCCAAGTTAAAGGTGATTACCCTTCTAGTCTTCCACTCTAATTCTTCTTCCTCTCCTATCTCTCATCCTTTACTTTGACGCTTCATCCTCCACCCCTTCTATCACGGTCGATGACTCCAATGTTAAAGCCTCATTAGCTCTCATCCATAAATCATCTCTACTGATACTGTCAAAAATCTCATCAATGTCACTTTTAGCGGTTCACCTCTATCTCCATCCACACTATTCTTCCTTTACCCCTTTCCAATGGTAAAGCCAAGCCAGGCCCTGTATATGGGACAAATTCCTTCTAAAAAATTAATAATTTTAAAAATAATTTGATAATTAGAAGTTCAATTATATAGATTTACTGTTATTGGATTTTGAGTTAAAAAGGCTAGACAATTTATATTCAAATTTAGAGAAAGAATCAAATGCATTTAATGTGCAAAATATGAAAAAGATAGGGTATAAAATATGAAAAGTAAGGAAGTGAAAAATCCAAGGGAATGTTTATTTTCTGTTTTTAAAAATTATTTTTTGTTTTGAAAAGCAAAAAAAAATTGTTTTTCATTTAATTATTTTCAAAACTATTTTCTTTTTTTTGTTTTTTAAAAACAAAAAATAGAAACAACTTCAAGCTAGTTCCATTTTTTTTTCTTATTTTCAAAATACCCTACATTTTATTATTGAAACTATGGCCACCTTAACCAATTTTTATTACTCATCATCATTATTAACTGCTTAAAAACATCTTTATTAGTCCATTTTTTAATTTTAAAAATGTTTTTAATTGAATAATCAAGTAAATTTTTATTTTATTTTGTTTTGAAAAATAATTTTAAAAACTATATTGCAAGACAAATTTAAAAAATAAAAAATGAGAATAAAAACCAAACATATCCTAAAATTCTATACCTATCATGTGTATTTTTTCCAAACAAGGGTGGGCATGTGCCTAGCCACACCTGTACGTGGCCTTACCATCACTGCATCCATCATAGTCAACACATCTCTGCTAAACTAGTTGCTAGCCCCTTTACAATTTTTCATTTGCCTTGCCCAGTCCATGTCGTTTGAACACCTGTGGTGGCTTTCTTTCTCGTTTCTTCTCTTTCTCCCCTGTTGGGATACAGGGTAAGGGAACAAAATTCATGTTTCCCCTTCTAACAAAATATACAGTAAAAGATATCTAAATATATGAATACTTTATTGCCCCGTGTGTTTTCACATTCCATTAAGACGTGATGAGAATTCTCAACTTTCAATAATACCTCCTCTATAATTATTTATTTATTTTGATCCCATCTTAATTTACTAATTTGCATTTATTAATTATTTATTCATTTGAAGAGAAAAACCAAGAAAATTTAAAAAAAAATAAAATAATGGTCATCTAAAATCACACCCCATCACCTCTAATCCAAGTGGACAGCCAGCAATACACACATACAGTGCACATGATATTTTTATTTTTATACAATATTATACAATAGTTTTATATTTGCACAGTCATTAAACACTAATGTTTGTATGAATATATTATATAATTGAGATATTAAAACTTTCCAATTATTACTAACTAGGGCTGCGTAAATGACTGGATAAGACTGGACAAGACTGAACTTTGGCCTAACTCAAAGTCTAGTCTCTTTTATGAAAAGGACTGGGTTAGCCAACTTATAATCCAGTCTGCTCCAATTATAACTCAAAGATTAATAAGACCGGATTTAATTCATAGGATTATGAGACTAGCTCTAGTAGTCCAATACTTAGCTTTTTTTTTTCCTATATGATAGGTAACAATTCATTTCATCCTAACAAGCTCAATTAAAATGATAAAAATATTTATAATCATAAAAAATTCATAAACAACAACAATAAAAAAATATTTCAATTACAATCGAAATGATTTAAATTCATAACTTCAACAACAGCAATGACAATATTCAATAAACTTTAGCAATATATCTATTATACATTACAGTAACAATTTAACGACAAATTAAATTAAATAGAAGGGTAAAATGTGAATGAAGGAAACACTGCGTTTCAACTTCAAATGATTCAAATATATTAAAAATAATTTAAATTATATTAAAATAATTTCACAGTACTGAACTAGGCCAAGTGGTCTGAGGGCTTGATCTCCTACATTGTCCAGCTCAAGAAGTTAATTTGGTCTTTTTAGTCCTTCAAACCAATTTTTTTATTAGATCTGACTGGA